GAACTTCGAACGGCAAAAGAACAGTATCTTCAAGGCAGATGCATGATGGCGAAAGAGCACCAAGCTGAGCTCCAGCAGGTGCGGCTCCTACTTCAGCAAACAAGGGAAGAGACACGTGAAGAGCAGCAACAACTCCAACGGACACATGCTACGAATGAGAAGAAATTGCGTGACATGATAAGCGCCACGGAAAAAACGAGGGACGATGCGCTTAAAAAGGCAACGGAGGGTCTGCAGCTTCTACAGTCAGCTGATCGGCTGGTGGAGGGGACCAGTTCACTGTACGGCGAACGTACTGATATGCAATGGGCCATCTTCAGCAGCGCCATGGACTGTCTTCAGACGGCGTGTTTGGCGTATGCGGCGGAAACGCAGCAGAGACAAGAGGATAAGCTCAGTAGCCTCCGGCGGGAGCACGAGGTAGCAGTCAGTGTGCTGGAAAATAATTTTGGGCTTTTGCAGCGGAACCATCTGGAGACGTTTGGTGCCTTGGCTGTGCTTATGGCAGAGGAGCTGGAGGGGTGTCGTTGCCTGTTTGCCGACGAAGCGAGTGAGCGTCACAGCCTTCTTGACGATTACCATGCTTCACTGCTGAGTCGTGAGCGTCGTGTTGCGGAGGGGGAAATTAACGCACTGCGAGGGGAGTACGACGCCTGCAAGGCACAAGCAGACGCTCGTGCCCGTTCGCAGCAGGAAGAGATGAATTTTTTGCGGCTTGAGCATTCGAAGCAGGAACGGGATTTTGAAGAATTTACTGCCCACATGGCATTTGCCTTTGGCTCCCAATCTGCTGTGTGGCTGGACTCCTTTCGCGAAAAGTTGCAGCTGCTGATGGACTTTTCCGAGCGTTACGCCACCACGCTTCACACGAGCCACGCCGTAGTGCTGGAGAAACTTGCGCGTGTCGAGCGTGACGCAGAAGCGCAGGTTCGAGAGGTACGCTCTCTTCTTGACGCGGAAACCGCGAGGTTTGTCGAGGCTCTTCGGCAGAAGGATGAAGAAGTTGAGCGAGGCAACGCACTCCATGCGACGGAGATGCATACACAGCAGGCGGCCAGGCAGCTGGAGCTGGAGTCGGTGAGTTGCTGCATGAAGCAGTACTTGGTCGCCATTGAGGAACGGCTGCATGACGCGTTACATTCAGACGGAGGTAAAGCGGATATGCTCCTCCAGATGATGCACCATAAACATGAAAGCCTCATTCAGCTGTTGACAAAACAGGTGGAGGACGCATCTGATAGTGCAAAGGAGCTTCAGGAGGAACTTCGAACGGCAAAAGAACAGTATCTTCAAGGCAGATGCATGATGGCGAAAGAGCACCAAGCTGAGCTCCAGCAGGTGCGGCTCCTACTTCAGCAAACAAGGGAAGAGACACGTGAAGAGCAGCAACAACTCCAACGGACACATGCTACGAATGAGAAGAAATTGCGTGACATGATAAGCGCCACGGAAAAAACGAGGGACGATGCGCTTAAAAAGGCAACGGAGGGTCTGCAGCTTCTACAGTCAGCTGATCGGCTGGTGGAGGGGACCAGTTCACTGTACGGCGAACGTACTGATATGCAATGGGCCATCTTCAGCAGCGCCATGGACTGTCTTCAGACGGCGTGTTTGGCGTATGCGGCGGAAACGCAGCAGAGACAAGAGGATAAGCTCAGTAGCCTCCGGCGGGAGCACGAGGTAGCAGTCAGTGTGCTGG